AGTAAATAGGAGACACTCAGATGAGGGAAGAGGAGAGTATCGGCCATACAGTTTCACATTTCTATGCACCGTTTTGAATGTTGCCGTTTTCAATACTGTATTGCAATTGTTGCATCTTACGGGCATTACACAACAAATATGATTAAGCAACACAAATGTTTTCAATACTTGGAAACTTTTTGATACAAAAACATTTAACAAAATAGGCAGAAAGTCTTCAACTGACAGACCTCCTTTGCTCTTCATAAAACCGGCAAACGTTGACATTGGGGACACTACTTTACATTCTGGAAAAATTTGAAACGAGAGCAGTCTCACTGCCTCATTCAGGAGCCGAACCTTTATAAGCTTTATAAAAGCTTTCATGCATAGCTCAGATGTCTTAGGAGTTTCAGCTGGTTTTGGAAAAATGCAGCACCACAGGTGACAAAGCAAATGACAAACAAAAGCATAGGTCAAAAATCTTTCAGTATCTAGGATGCAGCTAATCTTAGCTGTTTATTTTATATTTCATACAAACTGCGCTCAGTGTTTAAAGGCCTTAAGCCTTCAAACATCATGAAAGATGTGCCGTATCACTCACTCTTATAAGACACAACTCTGTGCCAAATTCTCAAGCTTGTGACTGTTATGTAAAACACACGCAGTCAATGAGTCACTGTAATACTGCAGAGCAGAAAGAAGAGAGACAGCATGTTCCCTTATAAACTCCAGTCTTCATTACTACAGGAGAACTTTCCTAGAAAAAGCCCATCCACCTCACACACACGCGAGATTCCACAGAGACGACCATACAAGGAGTCCCTCCACTGCTTCTGCAACACACAGCAGAGCAGCGGGGTCCAACTTAAACAAATCCAGGCAGCACAATACTAGGACAAACCGCTAGGGTTACCACGGTGACGAAGATATAAACAACTAGTACATGAATCCAGATGCCTCGTGCGAAAGCATGGGCCAATTAACAAACACAAACTCAGCACCAACTCAAACTAAAGCTGCCCCTGCCTTAATAAAAGTGTATCTACAGTCAGCACTGCTGCAGTTTCAACAACACAGAGGAGTGTCTGCGTTTGTTATTGCCTCTTTGTGGCTCAAGCACCAGAGCGAGGAATCACCGCTACATTCAAAAACTGAGCAGGGTGGAAACAAACTGTGCACATTTTTTTTTTTAATATGAGGATGGCTATATAGAAACATAGATGAATATGTGGATGGATGGACACATATATACAATGGATAGACAGATAGATAGATAGACAGACAGACAGACAGATAGATAGAGGATGGGTAGATGGATGAAAGGATACATATACAGATGGATATATAGATGGAGGGAAGGATGCATAAACGGCTTGATGCATATATAGATGGACACATATACAATGGACAGACAGACAAAAGATGGTATAGGGATGGAAGGATATACAAATGGATGGATATATAGATAGATGGAGGGAAGGATACATAGATGGATTGATGCATAGATGGATGGGCGGATATATAAAACGGACAGACAGATAGACGGATGGACAGATAGACAGGCAGACAGACAGAGGATGGGTATATGAATAGAAGGATATACAAACGGATGGACATACAGATAGATAGAGGAAAGGTTTTGGATACCAAAAGATGGATAACTAAAATGTACAGAGTGCATACATAGTTGGATAGCTGGATAAATCGATGGATATATAGATGAACAGACATCAGTGCATATACACGACATTGGAAAGTGCAGAAGTCAACAACATAAAAGCAACTGCATTTAATGGTGCGTATCTTAATCAAAGTGAGGAACAAATCACAGAGCCCAGAATAAATAAGAAACGCTTCCTATTATTTAGTTATGCAATGTAGCTATTTGTACACAAAAAAATTTGACATTCCTGTGCCTGTAAAGACTTCAGCTGCCAATCTCCTGTTTAGTCATTTACATCCAGAGCAAATTTCTCAGAAAACAGGCTACGGAGCAGCAGACATGGTGTTTATAGCACCAAACCTGTAGGCATCTGATCCACCATCTTAAGGAGCAGCTCATTAAACTAATTGGACTGGAGTTCATCCCTGGATGTGAGTGAAGAGGAGCTTCTCTTCAGGCTAAAGGCTTTTTAAGGCCTTTAAGGCTCAGAGGTGGCTGCCAGACTCATCAGGGTTATTGGACTAAAAGCATTTACGCTTTGCAAGTAGACATTTTATGGGGGAAAAAAAAAAAAATTAAAGAAGGTCAAAGCAGACAAGAAGGAGATTTTAGGAGATTTGTTCTCTCTTTTAATATGTACAGAGGTCACAAAGAAGGGGACAGAGAGCAAAGCGTTCAACTTTATAAGTAAGGTATTCTGTGCAATGCAAGAGCTCCTTAAGAACAAAGAAGCAATATACTACACATGTAATACACTACAGCACTGTTACCTCATCATACTCTTTGCAGTCCCAGTCTGCATGTTTTAATTTCATGAACGTTAAAGAAGGATTTACTCAATAAAACTATGAAGAATTGAGAGTTTAGGCTTTGAATGATATCATTAGATGTAGTATAAACAAAAACAGATCAAAATTGATAGGAACCAGGGGTTGCCATGTCTACAACACAAATATAGACATTTTATTTGCCATCGTAAAGGACCATTGAACCTACATGCATCTTCTGGGTGTTTCTGTATATAGAGCAAAATACAATTAAAGTTGATGGTGGTAAAAAAGTGGCACATCTGAAAACAGTAAGCTTTCTTTGGGGACTATTTTGCCTCACAAAGCCCTGCTGGCGTCTATGAACAGATAAAAAAACATTTTAGGCCAAAACTTCATAGCAAAACTATCGTAAAACGGGCTTCAGGTAACATATCCATAACCATGTCATGTAATAACTTCCTGTGATGTAGGCTTAAGAGCCATTAAAAGCTTAAGACGTCTGGTTCCTATCAACACCACTGTGAACAATTCTTGGTAGGCTTCTCTCAATCCACTCTCAATGATTTTGTTTTCATGTTGACCATTTAAGCACGCAGAAAATTTGAAAAATCGGCGGAGCTCCCCTTCAACACACCTGCTAACGCTTGTCAACTCAGCCGCCAAAACGCTTCCTGAGCTCAAAATGGTTCTTAAAGCATGAGAACAGTAAAAAGGACAGGACTGGGGGAAACCGTCCTACAGACTGAAACAGCTGGCTCTCGCTCACCCACGTGGCTCCCATAACAAAAGGCGCTCATGCCGGAAGTAGAAAAGCGAAAAAGCCTCTTTGTTTTGGAAGGTGATCTACCGGACAGTGACACCTCTCTCGGGAATCTTTATCCTCAAAAGCAACATCTCCTGTTAAAACATGCTTGTAAAACACTCAAGAAGGCTCGATGGCGTTATAAAAAATGAATGCCAGAATGTAACTGCTGCACCATTTAAGGTGGAACGGAAAATTCGAGCCAACTTCAGCCTCGCGTATAAAACTTCATAAAACACCACGCATTTTACACAGCCACAGGGTATAATATAGGGAGAATAATGTCCTTATAACAGCTCAATTGCTCTTTTCAGCGGATTTTAGCTATTATATTCACTCGTTCTATGCAAAAGCAGCCCCCCCAACTAGCGCATGTGCGAGCCTGCAGCGTGGTTTTGCTCTAACATGGCTGCCTCCATGCTCAACCATTCTGACCTTTACGCAAAAAACACTTCAACTCTCATGAAAAAGTGAACACAACACGCTTTAACGAACCTCGTCTGGATCAAAGACACCACGACGTGACTCACTTAGGATATTATCCTACATTAGCGCTAACCATTCTTTCGCAATTCGATCCACTAAAACATTCTGCGGTTACTAAAAGTGACTTGACGTGGTGCTTCAATGCAATGTATTACAATTAAATCGCATTTTCATGCTGTTTGCAATAAGCTGGGTCGTGTTTTGACCGCTGGGGGCTCGTCCTGGATCTCTCTGGGTGAAAGGTCACCTCCTATAGCCCTGCTCATTAATGTATTGCATCTATCGCCATGTGCCTGGGCTTAGGTTTACATTTAAGCCCGTTGTTTTGAGTGCATATGAGGTCTAGGATCAGGAATGAGTGGTGGAAGATGGTTTAAAAAACGAGGTTATTTCAGGTGAGGCAGCCCGTACCATTATACAAACACTGTGCTGGACTGCACTGACACTTCAACCAATGAAGGTCATCCAGGAGCAAAGTAGCTGTGGAGGAATGAGGGCTGAATTGTATGGAAATGCAATATAAAAGGCATTTAATTCTGGTTTAAAGGTATAGAACAAGCTCCAGGAAAGATCATATTATCCCCTTACCCCATGTAGTTAGTCAGGTATGACATATTTGGTGTGTGAAGTTTGCTTCCTTAACACTGGAAGCTACGAAGGTAACATCATGACGGTTTAGAGGGCAGACTTAGCTCTACTCTCTTAAAAGGATGGTTCTTCAAGGGTTCTTTAGAGAAGGGAATGGTTCTATTTAGAACCACTAGTACTACATAGAACCATTTGCATGCTTAAATGGTTCCTTGCATGGTGAAACAGTTCTTCAGATTGATGGAGAATGTGGTGTATATGGTTCTGTGTAGAACCTTCTTGAAAATGGTTCTAATTGGCACCATAAAGGGTTTATACAGACATAAAGAACCATATACAACATATTCTCCATCAATCTGAAGAACCATGATTCTATAAAGAACCACTGCCTTTACTAAAGAACCATCTTTAAACGTGTCTTGACTAGCTGACTGACTGGGAGTAAGAGAGTAAACTGATTTTAGACGCTGCAACGTCGAAACCGCAAAGGAGCTCACTCAGGTCAGCTTCCTATTCGAAGTTCCCCGTTCCATCTTAAATAGCGCAGTAGTTACATTTTGTCGCCTCAGGCGTTGTAATGTAACTGTTGCAATTTAAGGTGAAACGGGAAAATTCGAATAGGAAGCTGACTTCATCCTCGTAGGTCCTAAGGGGAAAGGTGCAAAAAGATTAAACAAAAAAAACCAAAACAAAAGAAAAGTTTACCCACCCAGCACATCCGCTGACCGGTGGCGGGCGATGAAGCAGGCGTCATCCCCGTAGCACATGCCTTTCTTCAGGATGCCCTTCCGAAAGTCTTTGCCGAAGCCGCAGCTGGCCGTGACCAGGCTGTAATCGCGGCCATCTGTCTGAGAGAGTCCGCCCAAGACGGCCCTGGCCACGATCCGTCCGTAGGAGAGTACGGATAACATACCCGCTCCGCTATCCGACAGCCCGCGTCAACCGGCAGCCAGCCGCCGGCACATACAGCGGAGCAGCTGGGCACCGCAGGGGGAGCTAACCGCGGAGCGGCGCTAACCCTCACTCACACAGCCGGGCTGGAGAGACTCCCTCCAGGTAGCGGAGACTGTCCTCCTAATTTGTCGTGCTGTCGCCGGACTGGTGCTACAGAGCCGGTTCGGTCCAGTTCAGTTCGGCTTTAGACCGCTGAGTTTTAGCCGGTCTCGCGGTGCTCCCTTACAACTGACATCTTCACCAGAGCCGCTTGAGCACGAACACAACACCGCCGCACTACCAGTGGGGATAAACCGCACATACGGGCACTCGGGTCATGTGACTCTTAACGTCACAGAAAGCGTGCCCCCTGTATTTTGATAAAACAAAAATAAAATAAAAGCCCCGAATCAATTCAGTAAATGCATTGTAAAAAACAGCTAAATTGATGAACATATTGAAATATTGTATTTACGTCATGCACGGTGTGATGTCTATATTTAAAGACAGACATCACATCGTGAGTGAGGTAAATACAACACGTAAATAAAATAAATAAATAAATAAACTTGTGTTGTATGGGTCATTTTATGCATAAAAATCAGAAGGTCTAAATAACATAAAAGCACGTTTTTTACATGTATGAAATTGTTTGCAAAGAATAAAAAATAATGTGTCCTTCCGCATTGCATAATAATAATAATAATAATAATAGTAATAATAATAATAATAATAATAATAATAATAAATTAGAAGAGTTGTTTGTTTATTCTTTTTTTTTTTTATTGTTATTACCCAGAATTCCACTTCCTGGAGACGGGCTACACTCAGCCCGGTTGCTAAGCATGGCTACGGTGTTTTGTGTGCTTATTTTATTTACGTATTTGGTAGAAACTCTCTGCAGTAGCGATGCGGATTCTGTCCGCTTTAATGCCACTTTCTCTGATACGAACCGAACATGGATCAACTGGGACGGATTTCTGAATGCGACGGAGCGGCCGGAGGGAGAAAACGCCACTTTAGCTCCGTTTTCGATGCCCGCAGCGGCGCCCGCCGAGCCCGGCCCCGCTTTCCCCGGAGAGGAGACTCCTGAACCCACAGCCCGGCCAGACTTAGAACGGGCGGCCACCGCAGCGCTGCCCTTACCGCTGTCCGGAGCCTTACCGCGACCGGTCACTCGAGGTAGAAACAGTTAACGTTACAGTTAACAAGAGTGACTGTGATAGGTAGCTAGGTAGCCAGCTACACTCTTAAAAAAGATAGCTGTGAAAGGGTTCTTTAGTAGATACAATGGTTCTATATAGTTAGAACCAAGAACACTCCAATAACCTTTTGCATGCTTGACGGGTTCTTTGCATCTTTGCATGGTGAAATGGTTATTCAGATAGTGAATGCAAAATGTGTTGTGTATGGTTCTATGTAGAAACTTTGAAAAAGGTTCTATGTAGCACTATAAAGGTTCTTCTATCGTCTTGATGTCAAGCTTATAAAATACCCTTTTTGGTGCTATATAGAACCATTTTCAAAAAGGTTCTGTATAGAACCATATATGGCACACGAAGAACCATCTCACCATGCAAAGAACCATTTAAGCATAAAATGGTTCTGTATAGAACTCACAGTTCTAAGTAAACCATTGTCTTTTCTAAATAACCATTGAAGAGCCATCTTTTTTTAAGAATGTACCATTTAAATGTAATGACATTAATTGCATAGTAGTTACTTTTTATGTAGTTTAAGTTTTTTATGTCAAGAAATAATGTAAACATTCCAAATCACAAAAAGTGATTTTCCTTTTTGCAAATAACCAACTTATAAACACAACTGCTGTATAGTTTCAAAGCTTAGAATCTGTGCTTTTTACACTGTATCTCCCTTGTGTCACCTATGAGTGAAATAATTAAAGGAAATGTAATTAGATGCTTCATAGCATATAGAACACCAGGAATCTTGAAGGGCTGACTGTGTTTGGGAATGAGCTTAAGAGCTGAATCAGATGTGTCAGAGCAGTAAAAACACTAAAATGTATAGCACAGGGGGGTTCTAGGAGCAGGGTTGGCACCTGCTGTTCTAGATAATGACGCTGTCACCTATTACAGCTTCTTTGAAATGCCTTCTTTATATTTGCTGCCCTTGGGACAGATTATAAAAAGCTTCAATATTGCATATCACTTATTTGCAGATGATATCCAGCTCTACATTCCATTTAAACCTAACGAACTTTATAGATTATCTTGGAAAGCGGACATTTTTTTACAGCTAAATGCAGACGAGACACAGGTTTTGATTGTCTCTTCAGAAAAGGTTACCCCTATGATTAAATAAATTATTGGGCTTCTCTCCTCTGCTGCCCACCTGGATTGCATAATTTAGGGCTTATTTTTGATCAGTCCTTGTCATTCAACACCTGTGTTAAGCAGTTGGCCAGATCTTGTTTTTTCCACTTAAGAAATATTAGTAAACTGAGATCTGTAGTTTTAAATGCAGAGCGAGAGAAGCTTGTACATGCCTTTATTTCATCTCGCACTGATTACTGTAATGCCCTGTTTTCCTCACTTAGAATATCTTTCCTTAATCGTCTGCAGGCAATTCAGAATGCTGCCACAAGACTACTTACTAGGTCTAACAGAAGGTCATATAACCCCTTTGTTAACGTCTCTTCACTGGCTTCCTGTTGCATATAGGATCTAGTTCAAAATTCTTACTGTAACCTACAGAGCACTGCACACTCAAGCTTCTGCATATGTGGCTGATTTACTTTACCCTTATTTATCAGCTTGTTCTCTTACGTTGAATAAGTTGAATTTACTGTCTGTTCCACATATGATTCTGTGGAATCTTTTAAAAAGCAGCTAAAGATGTATCTTTTTGAACAGGCGTTTGGGTAATTTATGTGCACCAGTTTTGTTTGTGTTTACAATCTTTTATGTTGTGTGATGCTTCTGTAAAGCCTTTTGTGACTTTTGTCTGTGAAAAGTGCTGTATAAATAAACTTTACTTACTTACGTACTTACCTTCCTACCTGTCTTGTTGCAAAACAGGCAGCATTTGTTATCAGAAGCAAGTTAAAGTGCTAATATTGAGTCTGATGTGCTTCTTTTGCTCCAGCATCTGATCTGTGTCCGTGCAACGTGCAGAGCGAGCAGTGTGATGTGAACTGTTGCTGTGACCCGGACTGCTCTCAGGAACTGGTGCTGTTTACCCACTGTTCAGTGCAGAAAGTCACGTAAGTTGTGTAACCTTTTCTCACTCTTTACCTCTCATAGTGTTTCTGAATTACAGTCTTTTGCATTTTGTTGGGAGCAAAGCACTTACAAATTATAATTTGTATGTTTGAAGCTCAAAAATGAATGATAATATGATTGTCACATTATTAGAATTTTGACTTTGATATTGACCAAGTGTAGTATCACAGTGCTTGAGATGTAAACAATATTATGGCAAAAAAAGCTTAAAAAGTTGTCTGAACACCCAGAGTTTATTGATGTGGACACAGTTATTGGTTAATTAGCATCTCTGATTTTTAAATTAATCTCTTTATGAATATAAAATCAACTTTGAAATAAAAAAATAAGAAAATAATTTAAGGCCTCGTTCTCCCAAAGGGAACATTAATAGTGAGACAATATAACACCTAAGATGCATCACACTGTGTTTAAAACAAATGCAAAATGACTTATACCTTTTGTATGTTAGTCGTTTTAGTGCTTGCCTTAGTCAATAAAGAAATCAGAGTATCAAAAGAAATCTACCAGAAGAGAATGGAATTGTTGACCCCCTTGTAATATTATAAAAGCTCTGAAGCTTTGATGCATCATTCAGCACTAATTGTACTTACATTGTGTCTAATGTGTATTTGCGCAGTGGTGACTCTAGACTGTGCAGCCAGGATGCGGCTCTATACACTCTCAGCACAACACCAGAGGGTTTGTCGCAAGTGAGGACATCCGTCCAGCAAGAGGTCAACCCTGATGTTTTCTGTATACAGTCCGCTAACTGTAAGTATATCATCACCCTGCAAAGTTTGACTGAAAACAAATGCTGGACCAGTTACAGTATTATAGCTGAAAGTGTAGTTACAACACTCTATTTCCAGTGTTTATGTTAAGGGTGGGCACTGTGGTAAAAATATACATTTTCACAATGATATATGATGATGTTTAGAACAAGTTCAATGTGCTTTGTTTAAAAGAGCTGTGACAAACTATGAGTGCAGTGTATTTTTTTAAAAAGTTAATATTTGCAAAAAGATTTACCATAAAATTATTTAAAGCTGTACTGTGTAAGATTTGGGGATTTGGAGACCTCTCTGGTGGAAATGTGTAATTGCAGAAGAACATTTTGTATCATGGGTTGTGCTTCAGCCCTCTTCTCTGAGTGAATGAATCTGATGATTGAAAGAGAATTCAAAGAGAACTCAATCAAAACTTGGTGAAAGATGTGTCTTCTGAAGATGTGAGTGAATTATCTACTATTGTTGTCATATCTTCATCATTATTATGTTGATTTTGAGATCATTTGAGACCTAAACATCGAACCAGACCTTCTTTGAGCCTTCAGTATTGGGTCCTTGTGCAGCATTAAAGTAAGCCATCTGTGCAGCTCCTTGTGGGTGTGCAACACAAGACTCATCACAATCGATTGCCTGATTGTGTTTCATGTCGGCTATTCGTTTAAAAAACACCATCTTTGATGTATTTTAAATTAAGAATAATAGAAATAAAAGACACAGCCCGTTCGCAGTGAGGCCCAGTGGCATGCACAGACTTTACTGTATTAAGTTAGGCCTGAAATAAAATTGCTATTGTGAGCTATAAGTGTAAATAAACTGTAGAAACACAATTTTATTGTTTTGATTATTTAAATATATAGGGTGAAATTTCTGATTTATTTTTGACCAACAAAGCGAGTGCAGCCACTAATTTCTCCTCTGTTATTGTCACTGCCCGTCTTTCCTTTGATCTCGTTGGTCAGTGCTGAAAAACTACTCGACTGCCTCAAGTTGAATTTGGAGCGCTCCCCACAAAACACAGCCACGCAGAGCCCATAAACCATGCGGCACCCAGTGTGCAAAAAACAGGTCTTTCCCACTGAAAACAATTGGAAATAAAGCGCCTCAGTCCTCTAAAAACATGTACAGTGACCCTGCCTTAGAATGCTTATGTTTGTTACAGAACATTTGGTCAGTGTGCTCTGCTCTTTAGAGATGATCTGACTTGCACAACATACTGTTCCTCTCTTGGATGATTTTTTATTTCCTTTGAAGAAACAGTTTTTATTGTGTTCTTATTTTAGATGAACAGGGCATGTCCTTCGTCACCCCAAGCACCCCCACTGAGCAGAATTTCGATTATCTCTTTGAGCGCTTTGTGGGATTCTTCTTTGGGAGCTCCGGTGGGACAGGCAGTGCTTTAGAGACTCCTGTACAGGGAAACTCTCCGGGATACCTGGTATATGTCCTATTTTCTCATTTCAGTTTTGTGCTCACGTTTGAGAGTCAGCCCCACCTGTTGTGTGTAAGGACAGATGATTCCAAAACTTTTAATGTTTTCCATGTTTTATCACACCTAGGGATGCACAATATATCTGCAGCCTATATATTATTTGCAGATAAATAAAAAAACAATTATTATTATCGGTGTAATATCAAAATTTTGGCGACAATTAAAGAAAAATAGCTTGGCGCCCTGTTTTCAGCTGGTTTTCAGTAGTCACCAGTGGTGAGAATTTCTCTTCTTCAAGACCCTCTGAATTTTCTTTAACAGTGGCAGACTGTTGTCATGAACTTCATTCAGTTAGCTTTTTTAATCAACATACACTATATGGACAAAATATGTGGACACTCCTCCTAATTATTGAGTTAAGGTGTTTCACCCACACCCATTGCTACCAGGTGGATAAAATTAAGCACATAGCCTTGCAGTCTCAATAGACAAACACTGTCTGGCAGTGATGATGAACGAGTCTGGGTTTGGTGAATGCCAGGAAAACATTACCTGCCTGACTGCATTGTGCCAACTGTAAAGTTTGGTGGAGGAGGGATAATGATATGGGGTTGTTTTTCAGGGTTTGGTCCCTTAGTTCCAGTGAAGGGAATTCTTGATGCTTTAGCATACCAAGACATTTTGGACAATTGTACGCTTCTACCTTTGTGGGAACAGTTTGGGGAAGGCCCTTTTCTGTTCCAACATGACTGAGCCCACAAAGCAAGGTCCATAAAGACATAACTGGGTGAGTTTGGTGTGGAAGAACTTAGCTGGCCTGTGCAGAGCCCTGACCTCAACCCCATCAAACACTTTTGGGATGAACCAGAACAGAGATTGCGAGCCAGGCCCTTTCGTCTAACATCAGTGCCTGACCTCACAAATGCTTCTAAGTGAATAGACAAAAATTCCCACAGGCACTCCCCAAAATCTTGTAGAAAGCTTCCCAAAAGAGTGGAAGCTGTTATAGCTGCAAAGGGGGACCAGCTCCATATTAATGCTTATAGACTTAGAATGGGACGTCATATGTGGGTGTGCATATAGTGTATTTCACTTTCATCAACATATTTAATCGACATATTTCAATTCACAACAAATAGTTTTACAGATCAGTATGGCCCTTTTTACAATGAATGCTCCAAATAGGCTGAGACATTTGAGGCTTCTCGAGTCTAACAGTAAAAGAAGTCATGGGTATGATCTTGAGCACTGTTAGTGCTGTTGTCTACAAAATGTATTGTAAAACATCAGTTATGATATCGTTAAGAAGACATTTCCAAGCATATATGCCATTGGGTTCTTAGAATGGTTAAATCAGAAGTGGCACATCAAGGAACGGTTGCATAATTGTCCCAAAACAAAGGCATTAATCAAAATAAACAAGTGCAATACCAAAATGGGGTGGACGTCAGAAGAAAAGAGCTAAATGATATCGTCAAGAAGAAGTGGCAGCATAGATGCACACGGTGTGCTCTCAACTGAAATTAATCAACATTAGAAGCAACCTAGAACTCAGTTTGGAGTGTACATCTCTTTTTCCTCTCCAAAATGTCACATTTTTAATCTCATGCCAGTCAGAAGGAAAGGGCAGCTGTAATAATATTTTATGCATGAAGCAAAATGAAATCAGATTATACTGGTCACACTGCAGAACGGTCTGTGTGTTAATACTGCAGGCCAGGAGATAAATGACTAAAACAATTTCTTGATAAATAATGATGATCATTGCTTGCATGGTGTGTTTGTCCTCAGTATGGAGACATAATCCAAACAGAGGACGAGGCTGGACAGCGAGACTTCTTCAGGCTTCCAGCACCTGCTGGAACAGCAAACTGCTTAGATACAAACCCTGCAGGTGCGGCTTAAGACTGTTATATACTTCTGCAAAGATGCACTTTAATGTTTCTATATGAAGACGCAGAGAAAGGGTGTATGGGTCAGCGTAACGTGGGATGAGATCCAAACCAGAATGAATTGTGCAGCAACATTCTATTAATTATTCAGTATCTACTATGAGTTATTTGGTAAATATAAATTAGTCAATAAATAAGAATTACTGAGTATCTACTAGCAGTTATTCAGTATCTACTATAAATGTTTCAGTAACTACTATGGATTATTCAGGAAATATGAATTATGCAGTAAGTATCATGACTACAGTAAAATATTGAGTACATTTATTTATTGAATTATTTAGTAGCTTCTATGAAATATTCAATGTCCACAATACATTATTCACTACCTACCATGAATTATTCAGTATCTAAATATCACTGTTACTGCTTCTTGTTAGCGTTTCTGAAGAATCAGACGAGCAGATGCGTGAGGAGTTTCACTTTGGCAGAGGACTGCACTACGTTAGAGGCTTTGAAATTAAGGACTTACACCAGCTTCCGTATTTTCTCAGTGAGTAAGAACAGTCTAAGGGCCATGTCATCCTGCTCATCTTCTGTATTGTGGGCTTTTAAAGCAATAGCTTCACCAAAAAATACATTCAGACAAATTTTCCCTTAACCCAAATGAATTGATCAGCCTAGACATGTTTTGTGTCCAAAGTTGAGGAGCTTTGAGGCTAATATGTCCAATTAATGGAAGTTACCTACAAGTTTACAACTGCATGCCTGAATCATCACAGACTAAATTTAGTCTGTACGTTTAGATCCCATTGTGTCATACAGCATCAGTAGTGCAAACTTCAGACACCCGTCGTGTCATGGCTGATCAACTACTTTTTGCTGTGAGAGGAAAACTGAACATGTTTTTGGCCAGATTCTTGCTTTTAGTGAAAAATAGCTTTATAACCATTTTTTGTGTTTTTTGTTTTACAGGGAAAGGATACAGAAGCTAACGTAAGAACACAATTTTATTAAACATCATTCAGTTAAGCATACTGCTTAAGCAAGTTTATAGCTTTGCTATTCGAAATACATTACTAGTCAAAATATTGGACACTGAATATGCATTTCACATTGGGTTCTAAAGGCTTTTGCAAATGAAGTTTGTTTCTAAGACAAATATAAATAGTGCACCAGTACATTTGATGGCTATGAGTGAAATAAACCTGAATAAAAAAAATGTAATTCCAGAAAGGAAAGGTCAGTTTAGGGTTTACCTTTTCTTGGTCTCTGCGTAATTCCATGTGTAATTTCATAGTTGTTTTAGGTTCTCATTGTTGTTCCAAACTGAAAGAAAATCAGGAAAACCTTTATATGAGTAGATATGTCCAAACTTTTGATGATTTTATTAGTTACAGTTGTATGCAAAAGTTTGAACACTCCCTGGCAAAATACACATTTTGTTGATTTTCAATGTGAAAATAAGTTAGCACATTCTCTCCAGGAAACAAACTTAAATATGAGTTTAACATATTGGAAAAAATATACCATAAAATGTTAAATGTACCTTAACTTTTATCTTAAATGTTATATATTTTTTTCCAATATGTTAATTCAGCAAATAACCAGTAATTGTGCATTGACATATACAGAAGTGTGGATGCAGAGGATGTGTTCACTTAGAAAATCAACAACACATGTAATTTGACCAGGGGTGCCCAAACATTTGCTGTATACAACTGTATACTCACACATTTACGCACATCTAAAGCTGAAGGTATTTAAGGTCCTGTCCAAGTACATTTCCGCCTGTCTGACATCCTTTGGAAACTGAAGCCCTGTAATCCTCTGGTCACTGGACGGCCTGCCTTACCTCAGTGCTAAAACTGCACAGCATTCAGGCCATCACACGCTCAGCCAGGTCTCACAGCAGGCACACTAAAGCTAACGCAAAGCGTGGCCTGATCAGCTCTAAGTTGGATTAGCAGTGTAGGATTAGCTGAGTGTCTACGCTAGTGTCTGTGACTGAAACAGGATGTCTGTGTCTCAGCTGGTGGCCGTGTGGGTGGAGGCTGTTACCCTGCAGTCGCTGGAGGGCACCCAGACACTCCTGGAAACAGCTGCTGATTCTGCTTTTGAGCCTGAGTTTCTGCAGCCTGCTGAAGTCTGCAACCAGGTGGTGCTTCAGGTGAGCTCAGAAACAAGAGTACAGAGCAAAAACTGACCTCAGTGTGTTTCTGGCAAACAAGCCAGTGTCCATTTTAGCCATTTCTTATGAATGCATTATGAAATGATATATTAATATATAACGGTATATACCTGTAGAATACCACTTTATTAGAAACCCATACTCTGTGGTTCCACTCACTGGCCACTTTATAAGAAACACTTGCCTTGTGCTTCTACTCACTGGCCACTTTATTAGAAGCACCTACCTTGTGCTTCCACTCACTGGCCATTATACTGGAAACACCTACCTTGTACTTCCACTCACTGGCCAGTTTATTAGAAACACCTACCTTGTGCTTCTACTCACTGGCCACTTTATTAGAAACACCTACCTTGTGCTTCCCCTCACCGGCCACTTTATTAGAAACACCTACCTTGTGCTTCCACTCACTGGCCACTTTATCAAAAACATGTACCTTGTGCTTCCACTCACTGGCCACTTTATCAGAAACACCTACCTTGTGCTTCCACTCATTGGCCACTTCATTAGAAACACCTGTCTTGTACTTCTGCTTACTGGCCAGTTTATTAGAAACACCTTTTCTTTTACTCACTGGCCACTTCATTAGAAACACCTTGTATGTCTACTCAGTGGCCTTTATACTAGAAACATCTACCTTGTACTTCCACTCACTGGCCACTTTATTAGAAACACCTGCCTTTTGCTTTCCCTGCACCAGCCACTTTATTAGAAACACCTTCCTTGTGCTTCCACTCAGTGGCCACTTTATTTGAAACATCCACCTTAAAGGTCCACTATATAAATATACAATTACAGACAGTCGTTAATCAGTTGCTGTACAGTTTATCTGTTAAAGTGGATAATGAGTGTATGACAATAGAATTGTAATGAAATTTGAAAGCATTATATTAAATATTCAGTGGACATCCCTGCAGAAAATCAGTAATGTGGCTGTAATCTGTGATCTTTTTTAGGTGAAATACACAGTCAGGTATGGAGAAGCTGGTCAGATTGTAAGAGTGGCCGTATCGTTTGTGCTGGGAGCTGTTAATAGTGCCATGCTGCCGATCCAGCAGGAGTTCCAAATAGCCTTTGTTCAGGTATCCATGTCAAATTTTGCATTTGTTAAAAAGTGTTTAGTGCAGAAATAACCATGCCAGACTTCAGAACTCTGTGTATTCCATTTTAATAGGAGGCAAAAAGTGATGCAGTGCTCCGCTCCAGTGGAAATCCTGGTTATGTGGTTGGACTTCCCCTTGTGGCAGGATGGAGAACTGCAGAATATCCTTTTCCACCGATCCCTCTGATAATATCCAGAGTGCACTTAATGAATTTAATTGTTATGTGTTACTATCCTATTTTTACACTCTGTGGGAATTTGCCATTGAGTGTTATAGACACAGCAACTTCAAAGCAAGAAGTCAGAGAAGTTGCTCGTGCATTTTAGTGCAACAGAATTAGCAGAATGATCTGTTTAACATGTCAAAATTAGCTAAAGCGGTAGTTTGGTCAAAATCAAATTTACAGTTTCCCCCCCTTACCCCAAATGTACACTGTTGGAAATAAAGGTTCTGTGCAAGTACATTTGTTGGCCATCAAGGTACAAACAATGTAAATGTTCCCTCAAAGGTACAAAAGTGGTTTTAAGGTCCAACTGTGAACCTTAAATAAGTTTTTCCTGGTGAAAAGTACATATTTGTACCTTTTCATAACCTAACGTTTTAAAACAGAACAATAAAATAAAAAGCCTGTAGGTGAGACGAGGTGTGTGGAGTCAGTGCTACTTTAAAAATATAATTTCAGTGGATTATGACACAATTACGTTTCCTGACTAAAGGTACTGAGATGTACCCTTGAGGGAACCACCCCAGTGACATTTCAGTACCTTTATTCCTGAGAGTGTGGTCGATCATGTTTGGTATCTAAGTTTGCCCCTTTAGTTTTATCACTGGTGCTACTTTCCTTAACTGCTGTTCCACAGGGATTATTCAAAGCGCTAACCCAGAGGGGTCATTCACTGTTCTACAGAGCTCTGCAGATCAGGACTGCCTGTTCAGCTTTCCCCAGAGGTCACCAGTCCTGTTTGGGAAAGATGTGGTATCAGGTTGTACCTTTAGGTAGGAAAACAACATTTATTGCCCAGTGCGTAATGGACTTTGGAGGATTGCTTTTAATGATTTCCACTGGCACCATGTTCATCAAAACATTATACTGATCTAATAAACTCGTTTCCTGCCATCCAGAATGATGATGCTAATTAAGTATTATGTGTGTTTTGCTGTTGTTATGATGGCCTCTTGTATCCACAGCAAGTTTCTTATTTTTCTTTTTTTATCCCTCTACAGGCTGGAGGATGGAGCAAATTGTTCGCTAGTGTCTGAAGCCATTTTAGGAAGACTGAAAGGCCAGAGTTTTCCAGACTATGTGGCATCTTTTGGGAACTCTCTGCCTCAAAACCCCATGGACTGGGTGCCTGTAGGGAACCAAACCACAATAACGGTATTTTGCTTTTTCATGTTGGCTGTACAGCTGCCTCAAATCACCATCTTTCAAGAATATCTCAGACGTCTCAGATTTGCTGAATACTTAGTCATATGCAAAACTTTGAACATCCTCAGTAGTTACATTATTAAATGGTGAAAATGTGTCCTGTCAATGGTGAAGTCGTTCAGAGTGGTTTGGTGTGAAATGCTCTACATTGTTCACAGTGGTGGTGATAGGAACCAGACATCCACCTCTAAAAGCTCCCTCACAGAAAGTTATTACATGAAATGGTTATGAATACACTGTCTGATGTCTGAGACGTTGCTTTATGATAGTTTCGAGAAGATTCTGGGTTAAAACATTTATATTTTTAAAAATCCATTCATGGTGGAGAGGTACATGGAGGGTGCTCAACGGTAAAATAGTGTTAAATCTGAAAAAAATACATTTTCTTTGGGGACTATTTTGCCTTGGAACGCCTTTCATGTACCCCTCCACCTTAAATGAATTATAAAAACTCGTGTAGGTTCACTGGTGGTTTTGGACAGTAAATAATATGGCTATATTTGTGTTGTAGTCGTGGTGACCCCTGGTTTCTTTCACCACCACATTAAAGAAAGTCTTTATAGTCAACCATTTCACACCAAACCACTCTGAATGACTTTGATTATATCTCAACCACTGAATTATGAAGAAAGTTTGGTTAAATTGCTGAAATCCCCTCTTATAATGGCATTTTTTGCTAATTTTGGTGCACAAGATTGATTTATGTGGCAAGTTTAATGTATTGAAAAAAATCATTTTCACTTAGTAATTCAACAAAACATGTAATTTGATCAGGGGCGGCCAAACCTTTGTGTACAACCGTATAATAAAGTACGTTTGCTGAATACATAATGTACAGAATTTCATTATTGTTAGATACAGAAACTCAGAAGTGCTTCTAGCTTTGATAACAAAAGTTTATTTGTAAAGGAAAGTGTACCCAGTGAATTTTTAGGCAAACATTCATCTCTATATCCGTTTTGATAGTTAAACACACCCTACACTAACGAAAGATTCCTGCCTATTTCATGCATCTAACATCAAAACTTCAAAAGTTACAACTTGATCAAATTTGCACTTTATTATTATAGCACTCATTTTAATGGAGTTTTAAAAGTCTCCATATTTTAGAACTAATCAAGGTACAATCCTAACTTTTCTACACTTAATCTGTCAGGCACAGTGATGTTATTTTTAGACAGTATTAAGCAAATCTGAAGTTATTCCGGAGACGAAGGTGATTTCACCTCATTCTTAAGCACACACAGTGGTGTATTAGAAACTGGTGTATTAGTGTTGTGTTCACATTTCCTTGAAGTGCCACATTTATAATTACCCGAAACACAGACACAGAAGTGGGTTTTTAAGCAAGAGGAAACTGTCTTAAAGGCTGGTTTCTCAAGAGTCACTATGAAGCAAACTCAGGAGGCTTGTAGGTAACAATGGGTTTCATTCTCCAATATCTTCCTAAGTTTGTTCTGAAATGTGTTCTTGAGAAAGGTCCTAAGAAAAAGTCTGTCAGATTCATGACAAGTTCTTAAAGCGCAGAACTGTTCTCACCTTTGTGCTCTTGAGTGTGTGTAGATTCTGTTCTTACCCAAGAACAAATCCCAAATAAGAAAACATTGGTGAGTGTCAAAAACTGTGCAAGTGAATTCTAAGAAGAAATTTCTTCTTAAGAACGGCTAATGAACAAAGCCCAATCTTTTTTTTTTTTCCATGTTTTCATTTAGGGCACACAGGGATGCAATATTCCTCTGTCCTATCATCTTGAAGTAAGATGGACCAAGTATGGAACCCTGCTGAACCCCCAAGCTCAGATTGTGAGCATCATGGAGATAATCAGGTTCAACACCAGCGCTTTAGTAAGTCAACTTTGGTTAGCCTGTTACTTTTCAGTGTAGATTATATGAACCTTTATTTCAAAACTTCATATCAAAATTAAATTCTTTTTCAACATCTTGGAATACTACTTGGAAGAAAATCTTGTTACATTAAAGATGGATATATAAGAACTGAGGACTTGGAGATCTCTTGTGGTAATTGCACGCAACAAGCAGAAGAACATATACTGGTTGATACTTTTTCTCTGGTATGAGTTTTATCATAAATATTACACTGGTATTTAAAACGAACATCGATAATTTGGAGACATCCATCCATCATTTAAACCGCTTATCCTTCTGGGTCGTGGTGGGGTGCTGGAGCCTATCCCAGCTGTCATTGGGCGGAAGGCAGGATACACCCTGGACAGGTCGCCAGTCCATCGCAGGGCAGACAGACAGACATACACATTCACACACTCACTCACACCTAGGGGCAATTTAGGAGTACCCGGAGGAAACCCACGCAGACACGGGGAGAACAGGCAAACTCCAATTTGGAGACAAATGGACTTATTTACATTTATAATCACTCCAGCTGGTTTCCTGATACATTTAATCTGCAACGAGAAACTGTCAACACTAAAAAGTTGTGAGGCTGAAGTCAGATTCTCATTCACCAGCTTCTTTTTCGAATTTTCCCATTCCACCTTAAATAGTGCAGCAGTTACATTCTGGCGCCTCAGGCACCATTTAAGGTGGAATGGGAAAATTCAAACAAAAAGCTGGTGAATTAGAAGCTGACTTCAGCCTCTTAAAAAGTCAAATGTTGAGAGACCTTTTACAAGAAACTATGGTACTTTTGAGGAAAAGTTTCCTGCTGGAGATGTGAGAAAATCAGCTATAGCTGAGCCAGTAAGCTAACTAGCTAAGCTTAAAGCAGAGCACAGTAAGTCTGTGTTTTTTGTTTATATTGAATTATTTAGCCTATACTAACACATTAGCACATACTGAGACATATTTACAGCCAAGATGGTAAAATGGATTTAATATGTTGTGGCTCTCAAGGTGGTTTGATTTTTGTTGAAAGGACAAAATGGCTTTACTTAATGTTTGGGTTGCGACCCCTGGCCTACTACCTCTATATAAAGTGAAATTTTTGTGCCAGTTGTTCCCAGAAAAATTGAGTACTGTAAAAATTGATTAAATGAATTTTGTTTTCACAGTCTTCTCTCTCCACTGGCATCACCATCGTCCCCGTCACCAGCTCTGTGAGCTTTATAGACGTTTCTGCTTCAGCCAGTCCAGGCTTCAGAGTTCCTCCCACGATCAATGCCAAACTACCCTTTGACTTTTTCTTCCCGTTTGTTTGACCTGGACTACTTGGACTTACATGACAAAGTGACAATACCTCATTAAGTAAATTATGGAAGACTGTATTTTACTAGAATCATTTTTGGATCCTTGATATTACTGTGTGTTCTGTATGTTTTGTATAATATGTACATTTATACTGTATATTGTTGAACTATTTGTTTTTTCAGGAAATTAAATAGTTTTCAAAATTTTATTAGGTCAGCCTATACTGGTTACTGATCCCAATTCACCCCCCAAACAGTGTTGGCAGCTATGTTAGCATTGTACATACTAAATTATTCTGTGTGATCTGTACATATTGCACATGCTCACACAGTTTTGCCCATTTTCTTTATTTTTTATACATACTGTTTTCAGGTATAACAAAGAATACATTTAATTCCTTTGCAAATCATTATGTAAAGTATACAAATTATACATCAAAGCATATTTCTTACAGCAAGCCAGAGAAATGTTTACAAGTTCACAGAAAAATTTTAGTGCACATACTTGTGCAAATGGACAGTGCAAAGGCTTTGAGTAAAAAAGAGTTGGTTATAAGCATGTAGACCTGTCAGTTTTTCCCTTTATAAAAATTCTCAGCATGCCTTCATTATCTTGTTAATCTATAACCAGTTTCAGTATAGCTTACAGCTTACTCAGCACAAGACTGATTCACTTTATGACCTGATTCAGTGCTGTACTGATTCACTACAACACCTGATTCAGTACTGTACTGATTCATTACAACACTTGATTTAGTACTGTACTGAAACACTTCAACACCTGATTACTTACTGTACTGATACACTATAACACCTGATTCAGTACTGTACTGATTCACTATACAACCTTATTTTGTACTGTACAGATACACTATAACACCTGATTTACTACTGTACTGGTACACTAAACTACCTTATTTTGTACTGTACTGTTTCTCTACATCCCCAGATTCCATACTGCACTGATTCACTATAACCTCATACAGTATTGTAATGATTCACTACGTGTTTCAGTACTGTACTGATTCACTACAACACCTGATTCAGTAAAAAAAACTGACTATACTGCCTCATTTTGTGCTGTACTGTTTTACTACAAAACCTGACTCATTACTGATTCACACCCATTAACACCTGATTCATTACTGTACTTATTCACTTTAACACCTGAATCCATACTGGATTGATTCACTACATGGACACCAGTACTCTAGTGATTCACTATAACATCTAAATAGGTATTGTACTTACTCGCTATAACATTTGGTTCCATACTCTACTTATTCAACTCTATAACCAATTATACCCTCTTTGTTGCCCTTCATGGCCCTTCTGGATTGCTATAGAAAATTCTGACCTAAAATTTGACTGGGACAGTAGCTGGGGATCCCTGACCTAGGATTTAATCAGACACGTGTCGTATTTGCTTTTACTGGCTCCATTCACAATGAAGAGTGCAGATGTGACTAGCTTTTTGTACAGTGTGGGTTTGCTGGTGTGAGTAAATTTGCAGGATGAACACAGTGCTAGTGCTCGATGTTGTGCTGCTTTAAAAGTGCTCGCAGCCTGTTGAGCTCCTGCTCCTGTAGAAAGATTCACAACAAACACATTTCAAATCAAAGTCTCTGCAAGATTCATTCAAAATCAGTGTTTTTCACTCTCACACATGGAGAAGTGCACAGTTTAAAGTGATAGTTTGCTGAAATATCACATGTACACCATTTTATACAACTCATCCCACACTCACCTCAAACTGTGGAGTTGTTCAGTATCTCTAACAGACTTAATTATGTGATTTCTGACACTGTAGGGCACACTGTTGTCTATTAACATGGACAAAATAAGCAAGTCTTGAGAGTTTGAGGCGAGTGTTTGATGATTTTGGGCATGCTGTTAGCATGATGCTAACAGGTGGGGTATAAACTTCCATTACTTGCTAGCCACAGTAGCCTTGTAGCTCCGGTGTAAAACTAAAGAAGCACATTTCTGTAATTTTTCTGATTGTTTCCAGAATGCAAACATGGGCCTTGACACACACATATTTTCAACTATTTTCACCCCAGAAATCCTGATTCAGCTCATCAGGAAACTATTAAACCCTTTGTGAGGTGAATCAGTTTTTTTGTGGCAGGAAATTCAGAAAAACAGCTTTTGTGCAGGATATCCTCAGCATAGAAATTAATACTACAGGTTAATATATATATTTATATATATATATATATATATATATATATATATATATATATATATATATATATAAAATAACATATTGTTCATTCTACTGAAATGGTTCAAAGTCTGATTTAGACTTCAGACTAAAATCCTTTTGCTTTGAGTGACTCTATACCTTAATTATGTTTATTTTATTAAAACAAATGACTGAACATGCCATTTTGTCACTACCAGAACAATCATAACACTATAAAACCAAATGTTTCAGTAGTGACTGTTTCGGTGGTGACAATTTTAGCTCATTTTGAGCAGAACTCCAGCCAGCAGCCAGTACATGACCAGCAAACACAGCTTTAAACAGCTGTACACACAAATTCAGCACATTTTTCATTAAAACACAAAAAAAATAACAATTGCAGAAAATGTGTTTCAGTAGTGACAATTCTTAATGTTCCACACTGATTTTCAGACTTTGGGACACATTTACTTCAAAACAATGGGATCTAACTGCTCACCATGTGGCCATGAGGGACAGGGATGCAGCCTCATTTCCTGCTCTAAAATGCAGGGGTGTGGCTAAAACAAGGCTCCACCTACAGACTTTAACTGTTTCAGTAGTGACATGAAAACACGGGACAGCATTTTTTTAATGAAGTTTTTTTTTTAATTAAACTAATGATCAATCTAAATCTTTCAACTTCACTATAAAATACATTTAAAAAATGTATTTGTGAACATAAAAAAAGTATTATTTTCACAAGTGTATATTTAAGGGTTAGGGTTTGGGGCAGACACCTCCCAATAGAAAGTACTTTAAATCTACCCTTTAAATCATGATTTTGTGTATATTTACCTTATTTCTTTCTCTATTAATGTGTTAGGTTGAAATAGATCTTAATCCTTGTAAATATCTAAGGTCTCAATACTACATTTTTTTTTTACTGTCAAGACACAGTTTGAAATAATTCAATAGAATAATCCATATATGCATCTTTCTGTTTTATAGACTTACTAATATTAGATAAACATTGTAAAAATTAAGGAAATTTTGTAACCTTTAAAACCCGTGGTTGCAAGTTTGCAGCATTTTACAAGATAAAAATGAAAATCATTATGGTTTTTATGATCAGAAACCTGGCTCTCTGAAGGTTAAGGTAAAAGAAAATCTATGGCTTTAATGTTTCCCCTCCAAAACATGCACACAGAGTTTCATAATTAACTGATGAGCTGAATGAAGTGTAACCGAGCGGCAAAAACAATAAGCCAAGCGCTCCTGCACTGTCCTCAGACGCTCAGGTTCGGTTTATGATTAATTTGGACGAGGAGAACGCTGCTAGCTTTAGCTGTGTTAGCTGATACTCACCATTCTGGCTTTCTGTTCCTGGAGCTCGTTGACTTGCTGGACGAGCCGATCATTGCTCTCTTGCACTTTCTGCACTTTGTGATGAGCTCGGTTTTCCACCGTCACCAGTATACCTGCAGAAGAGAGAGAGAGAGAGAGAGAGAGAGAGAGAGAGAGGGAGAGCAGACATCTTTTTTTCCTGACACAGAGGTCCGCCGAAGCACTAAAAGTGGCAAATTAATAAAGTATCCATCTATCGACCTGAGCCGCATGAGCCATACCGTTAATGATCCTGGCCACCCTCCATAGCCTGAGCAGAATCAGAAGGCCCATTCCATCAAAGGCGTCCTCTCTGGAGATGTAAACAATGTCCAGGACGAAGGACACCACCACCACAACCCCATCAAACACCTCAAATTTGTGCTTGAAAAACTCCATCCGGTATGCATACAGCTTCAAGCTCAACTCCACCATGAAGAAGGTCAGGAGGGCCAAGCTGAGGTAGTGAAAGACCTGCATGGGAGCAATAGAGAGATTATAATATGAATATTAAAATACTGGCCACTTGAATGTTTTAATTATTATCACTTTAATATGTGTGACATCATACCCATGATGAATTCAAAACAGGTTGTTTTACTTAGGGTTTAACTTAGGGGTCATTCAGACTTGGCAGGTTTGGTTGTATTAAAACGAACCCTGGTGCGAGTGCTCTGTTAGAGCAAGAGAGAACACCGCTCTCTGAACTCACACTGCTCCAAATAAACAGACCGAGACCCCCTGAGCAGGACAGTCTCGGTTCATTTCAAAACAAACTCTGGTGCAATTTATAGTTTGGGTTTTTCAAATGAGGCTAGACAGATAAAATAAGACATAAGTAAAACCAACAAGCCCAGATAGAACAGACAACAGCACAATTCAGAAAGTTTGGAGGACATTATCACAATTACTGTACATCATGGCCTTTTTAATTGACTATATCTTTTGTCTTGATGTTAGATATGTCAGTGTGAACGCTAAAAACGCTTTTAAAAAGAGAAGAAAAATATAGTTTTTCATGATATGTGCCCTTTAACCCCTTTAATGTCCACATTCCAGGAGATCTAGTAACTCTGTAAGGGGTTAAAGTGTGCCTCTTAGTAGATTCAGTTGATTACAGTATGGGTAATACTTTCATATTAGCTCTCAAAAGACTTCACCAACATCAAAGTTCAAAGGTATCAACAGGCTGTGTATAGTATAATGTTCACCACATTACTCTTTTCTTATTAAATGTCATCAATGACTACCTTAGCTGACATTCAAGCCAATAGTCCTGTTTCAAGCTGCACTATGTAAGATTTGGGGATTTGGAGACCTCTCTAGTGGAAACGTGTAGTTGCACATGCCATGTGGAAGAAAATTGGTAGTGTAGGTTGTGAAGTACCACTTAACTTCCTCAAAATTAAAACACATAAATACTTATTATTAAATAATTATACCTTCACAATGATGTGAATAAATACCGTGAATAATAAAATATTTTTGACTAATAAATTATTCAGAGGATACTGTTGTACTGAATACTGTGGCATGAAGCACTTCTACTGGGGATGACTTTAATTACTATTTAATTAAATGAGCCACTTGTTTATATGAGATATAAATAAAAGCATGCATAACTAAAAACATGTGACCCTGGAGTAGTTGCGCTGCAGAAGTCTGTAGATTCGGCCTTACAGCAGCTCACCTGTGGGGCGATCCGGTGCTGGTCTGCTTTGATTATGGAGAGGTCGATCAGCAGCTCACATAGTACAAATATGGCATCCAAAACCACCAGGCACACAACAGCTATCTAGAACACAGAAGAACTTAAACGTTACTTAGACAACATGCACTGCTCAGCCTTTTATATCAGCTCAGTTAATCAACGTGACTGTTGCTATTTCACCATTTAATAGTGTATAAAGTATAACAGAAGTGAGCAATATGATGATATTTTATCATTAGGGGCACTCATCATACATTTGGCTGTTTCTTTAAGCCAAGGCTCACAGTGTGTGGACTAAATGAACACAAGACCCACACTAGAACATTTCCAGCACTTAATAGTATCTAAAATCACAGTATAAATAACATTATTTACTCTTTAATGATCCAAACTGTGATTTTAAATGTATCATAGAAAAATCAGTTGCCTATTGCAATAACACAAATCAAATAAAGTGTAACATGAAAAGTAAGGGGCAACCGGCTATTCAGCACAGTGAGTCGTGGATATTTTATCCTATGACGTTTTGGTTTAGGTGTAGCAGCAGCATTCAAATACGGTGCAAGTGCTCTTAACTGCCTTACACTAGTAACCTCATAAAATATCAAAACAGATCAGCCACAATAAAATAATAAACTGTCAAGTATGGAACAAAAATCTGCCCATTCTGATTTCATTAATCCCGCGTTATCATTATTGTGATAACTTACATCAGGATACACCAGGAAGGAGTCGGCAACCCAAATGTTAAGAAGAGCTATTTTGTGTTTTCAACAAAAACCAAACCAAATGTCCGTTTCCGTTTCACCATCTTGGCAGTAAATACGTCTGAGTATGTGCTAATGTCCTAATATATACTACAGAACATAATATAAGCTAAAACACAGACTTATTTTGCTCTGCCGTAAAGCTGATTTTCTCACATCTCCAGCAGGAAACATTTCCTCAAAAGCAGAACAGTTTCTTCTAAAATGTCTGTCAACATTTGACTTTTTACAAGGTTAAAGTCAGCTTCTCATTCACCCGCTTCAGTTTCCTGTTCCACCTTAAATGGTGGTCAATTTAATGGCTGTACAATTTATGGCGGAACAGGAAAATTAGAACAAGAAGCTGGCAAATGAGAATCTGACTTCAGCTTTGTTACTTTTTAGTGTCTGACAGTTTCTCACTGCAGATTAAATGTATCAGGAAACCTGGAGTGATTATAAAGGCAAATAAGTTCATTCATCTCCAAATTATCAATGTTCATCTTAAATCTTTCTCTTTCCCTTTTCATTTGCTACTAGCTAGGCGAGATTGTTGTCTGCATTCCAGTGGTGACCAGCAGTCTGCGCGCCGATCTTCAGGGTTAAAGGGCGAATTAGCAGTTCTACATTAACTCCAGCGTTTTATTGTTAAAACTGTTTTTAGGGACATATGCTGCTCCAGAGCCACATGTCGCCGACCCCTGGGCTACACCTTCATGGGTGTCATCAGTACTTCTGAAATACTGAACAACTAACTGCATGGACCATAAAGACAGATTTAGACCAATTAATCAGCCTGTAAATAACACCAACAACCAGTGTACAGTAACTGCACAGTAACAAGTAGCTAATTGTACAGGAACCCATTATGTCATCGTATTTTCTTTATTTTCAACAGCTGTTTAATATTCATCCTCATGTTCCCTCTTAATAAGTTTATTTCTGCAAATATTTTATATATTTATAAATAAAAGAAAAAACATTGTAATCATTCCTTTTTTAAACATGGCACTGTTGTTTAGCTGGTGCACTCTGTCTACTCAATTAAAGTGACACAGTTTCAGATGTGAAGGTCAGTATCTGCAGATCTAAGATCATAAACAGACAGACATTCGGGAGCTTTAAGGTCATTCAGATCTTTAAAAACCAGCAGCAGAGCTTTAAAATCTCTCTAAAAGATCCAGGCAGTCAGTGGAGTGTGTAAACGGGGGTGACATGAGCTCTCTGTGTTGGTGTTGTGAGGATCCGTGATGCTGCATTCTGTACAAGTTGTAGAGGATGGATTGTTTTCTCCAGAAAGAAGATCATTACAGTGATCAACTCTGCTGAAGAAAGACAGCTACAAGTTTCTCTGTGTCACTCCGGGATAGAAAAGGCCAAACTTAAATAAAAAGCTACTTAAGTAACTGTGTTTACATGCGGGATAAAACAGAGCTCAGTCTAAGATCACACCCAGGTTTATGACTTCAGGTTTGGTATATTAAGAAAAAGAGCCGAGCTTCTCATAAAACAGCTTTCTCTTTTAGCATAAAAAAGAGAAAGTTTTAGCACTATGGATCAGTATTTGATTTGAAGGAATGGAAATGGATAACCGCATTTCATCAGCATAGCTATGAAAATTGAAATCCTGTTTACTGATGACATCACCAAGATGTAACATTAAAGCAACACTGTATGATTTGGGGATTTGGAGATCTCTCTGTTGAAAATATGTAATTGCACCACCGGATCTGACTTTTGTGAGTGCGCTGAAAGAGTATTTGAAGAGAACTCAAAACTTGGTGAGGGACGTGTCTTCCGAGGATGTAAGTGAATTATGTACTACCGTCATCATACCCAGATAGCAAGTATACATCGGTCCGCTGGCTTGACAAGGTCGGCTCCCGCTGACAGTTAGCCACTGCTGGTCCACCCTTGGACCACCCAGATTACTGTCACGCATACAAGGTCTAACTAGCTAACTTCTTAAACAGTTTTTAAATGCACACAGACTTTTATTTTGGAAAATAAACTATACAATTGTTGCAACCAATTGAGAGAAATGACTAGGCCTTATATAAAATGATTTTTTTTTAAATGTTGTTGCTGACACTGTGCCTGATAACATTAGCATAGTGGACCACTGTTGGCCCACTGATGGCAAAGTTGGCGGGTCACTGGTTTTGCTCAGTGTTTTCTGGATGGCCCACCAGTGATTAAGCACAGTATTAGACAAAAAATTCCACTTATCATCCCTCATTTTCAACTCACAGTCAAATTTACTTAGTTTTCTGTCCTTACTTACTTATTTTAGTAAATAATTTTAATCTAGTGCAGTGTCAGCAACAACTTTTTCTATAAAATAATTTTATATATTTTTTCACTGATTTTTTTTCTCTCTCAGGTGTTTGTAATATTTGCCTTAGTTTATTTTATGAAATACAAGTCTGTGGGCATTTAACTAACTAACTAACATTTAACTAACTAATTAACAAAGAATATCAAAAAAAGAAATAAAGGAAAAATAAGTAGATTGGACTGTGAGTGGAAAATTAGTGATGAAAAGTGGCATTTTGCCTAAAAGCTTTGCTGTCAGCTGGCCAATAGTGGTCCACTGTCCGCTTGCTATCTGGGTATCTTCATTAGTAATGCTCACTTTGCATTTGAGACCTACACATCGAGTCTGACCTTCTTTTGGAGTCTGTACGTGACATTAATATGTAAAGACGTATGACGTGGTCTGAAAAATTCCCACCAACTCCGTCCCAGTACCTCTGACTTGATTATTTCAGGCTTTACAAGGAAACTCAATGGATCTTTGGTACCTGAAACCTCTCGGAGCTGAAGAGCCTCTTCATGGAGTCTCTGAAGGTCAGCGCAGAGGGGTGGGTCTGCTTTGCTGGCTCCAGCTCCTCGCTGTTCGTGTGCAGCTCTTCATGGTCCCACTGGGAGATGCTGTGGTGATTGTCCCCCACCGCGGTGAAAAACCTCAGAAAACGACGGGGCATTGTGCCTGGGTCGCTCACCACAGCCACAAAAACTCTGCAGCGTGGATATAGTGGGTTTGCTGGTCATTGAGTATTGTGCCATAGAACTCTTTAAATCACTTTTGTCATATATATATACACACTATAGATAAGTGGGTGTTATACAGTGACATAAACCACAATAACTATCAGAGAGTACTGAACAGCTCCATATGATTTATGTATGTAGTTAGCACTTTATATAAGGTCTTCTTACTTGTTAGCTACATTAGCTCCAGTGCTAAAGATAAGAAGAACTTCAGACACTAAACATGTCTTGGCTAATCGACTACATTTGGGCTAAATTGTGTGAACTTTAAGAACTTAATGTTTATTCCAATTTCATGTCATGTTAATTAATACTTTATTTTTTCTAAATAAGTAAAGGTACTGTAAATAGGGTTTTACACTACTTTTCAATTTCCCAGTAAAAATTTCATTATAATCAAATTTATACTGGGAAATGAAGGAAAAAATGGCTTCATCTTGACATGTGTGTACATTAGTATCCAACACCCATTACCTGAAATACTAAAATAAATTTCGCCCTATAAGGGTAACTTAATATGTCCTGCATGTACATCTCTGCATGAATGGATTTTAAAAATCAGATTTAGGCCAAAAACGTCAGAAAATCATAAAACAATGTCTCAGATATGAGGCAGCACCATTTCATGTACTAACTTTGTTTGAAGGAGCTTCTTATTTAACTCTTCAGACATCTGATTCCCATCACCACCACTAGCACCACCACAGTTCCATGTACTCAAATAAAACCTTAAATTTGTACTCTTCACTGTATTTTTACTTTACTTTTTTCTGAGGTCCTTTTTAGTCTTTAACATGTAATTCCTAATTCTCTTTTTTTTTGGGGTTTAACTTCATTCTGTTGTTTTGGTTCAGCTCCTGTTCTGCTTTACTGTTGATCACTCCTCTCACTTTGGAGCTTCAGTGTTTTATTTTAGACCAAAAAAGAGAAGAATAGAGTCTAACAGACTTTATTTCCTGTGCTGAGAGATGCTGGATGGACTAAGAAGTTCCACTGCAGTTCTATAAGACACTAAGTACCAAAGTAGAGCTGCTACTTTTCTACGGTTCTCTTACTGGAGTACAGGTTTGGCCACTGTACACACCTCTAGTCTAAGCAAAGAGCAACAACAAAGACTCCAAAACGTGTAAAACAGGTACTGCTACTCAGGAGCCTGTCATTACCTGAGGATTAGACATGAGTCTTTACTTGGCAGTTTTAAACTATTCACTAATAAACAGTCAACATATAAGAGAAACACCAGAATTTAGGATGTGGGATGCCTCTATTTTCCTTCCTCACATTTAGTTAGTAAATAATTACAACATAAGCTGCAGACATACAGTGTAATAGACTCTAATAAAACTGACCACATTTGACATTTAGTTAAATGCATTTAAATGGACAATGCAGAATATATAACTATATAACTATATAGATACATGTAATCTATCTATATATACACTCTCACTTTGCACTTCTTTGAGTCCTCTTGGTATCTACACTCACTGTCCATTTTATCAGCTCCATTGTCCATATAGGAGCACTTTGTAGTTCTACAGTTACAGATTGTAGTCCATCTGTTTCTCTGCCCTCCTGTTCTTCAGTGGTCTCTGACTATACATACATATATACATTCAACGAGGTAGGAGTGTCTATTAGAGTGGTGGACACAGTGTTTAAAAACTCCAGCAGCACTGCTGTGTCTGATCCACTCGCACCAGCGCAACACACACTAGCAGACCGCCACCATATCAGTGTCACTGCAGTGCTGAGAATGACCCACCACCCAAATGTGGTGGTCCTGTGGAGGTCCTGACCATATGTATGCAGAGAAACAGATGGAGTACAGTCTGTAACTGTAGAACTACAAAGTGCTCCTATAGGGTCAGTGGAGCTGATCAAATGGACAGTGAGAGCAGAACCAAAGAGCTGTCCAGTCAGTGGCCATAACACTGACTAACTACGTTTCATTACAAAGTGAGCATAAGGCCTGTTTAGTTGGATTATTTAGTGCAGTACACTGAATACAAATCACTGTAGTTGTAGGTTATTATTATTATTGTTGTTGTTATTGTTATTATTATATTTTTATATTTAGCACTACATATACTTATATGTATATACTTCTATTTTGCAGGTTCCAGCTTATTAAATCGTGATAAGCGGCTAAGCCGCCGCTGTGTTGATATTCATCATTCTGACTTGTGCCTAACTCGTGATTTCCTCCTGTTTCCTTCTCAGCAGCTCCAAAAAAAAAATCAGCAGTTTCTGCAGGTCAGACTACACAGAACACAGAAGAAGAAGAAGAAGAGGCACTCTGTGTATTTAAAAGAGAGCAGATGTGTCAGTAAATCACTGAAACTCTGCGCTGCTCGGGTGTGTTTACTCTTTACTGGAATGCGCTGAAATAACCCTGCAGTCCGAAGCTCTGCTGTGTTTGTGGATCTACGTGCGCGGCGCGTCTCCAATGAGCGGATCTGTTCTTACCTTCACGCGGAGTTAAAGTTGGTGGATTTGCCGCGATAAACTGAGATTTTTAGCACCGTAAAAGTTGTCGGTCCTTCACAAACCCAGACCAGCCCCCGTTTCCTCCAAAACTTTGACCCCAAAACTCCGCCTCTGCTGCTCTCGCGCTCCAGCTGCAGCTTCACCCCACACACCAAGATCCATAAACCACTCAGCACGCAGAGAATCCGCCGGAGGAGGCGCTGTAGAGCACAGACACAGACCGACACCTACACGGACAGATCACAGGTTCCTAAGACTCGTCCTGCAGAACTTCCTGAGCTGAACATGTTAGTGTCTTACTTCTCTAAATACCCACTACAGCAGACAGACAGACAGACAGACAGACAGACAGACAGATAGATAGATAGACAGAAAGATAGGCATATATACATTGTTATTAATTGTGGAGATGCCATATATATATATATATATATATATATATATATATATATATATATATATATACTTCAAAGGTCGCGAGACATCGTGGCATCTCCACAATTAATAAAAATTAGTTAATAAATATACATTTGTATAATGAATTTAATGTAGGTCAATGGAACCAGACTTTTTTCCAAGTAGTTTTGGGCCGTTTCTTTTACTCCATTTATTATAATTTATACACAATGTCATAATGTGAAGTATATATATATATATATATATATATATATATATATATATATATATATACATAGATAGATAGATAGATAGATAGATTGGCAAACAGTGTGCGTGCAATAAACATTGTGGGCGGAGCCTCTTCGACATCGTCACGCTGAAGCTCGAGCCCCGTCGCGCGCTCTCGGCCTTAGTTGCTAAGTTATGGTTTGTGAATGTCCTCGCGTGAAAGGTCACGTTACCAAGTAACGCAGAAAGTATGCTGAAAGTGAGAGCACCCCAAAACAACACAGCACGTGACTCCCAGCAGTTAATAATAATTCAGATTCTGAAAATAATAACAATAATCAAGATTCTAATATCAGAATCAGAATTAGTTTTATTGACTGAGTCAGACGTCACTGGGACTTTGACTTGGCCGTTGCGCACATTAACATAAACATTACAGCAAAAATAAACAGAACAGAATAAAAGAAAAGAAAAAAAGAATCAGGAGAAAAAATGAAAAAATAAATAAAGCAGTATAAGAAGATAATTGAGCTGTAGTCCCTCTAGTTTGTGAGGGGCAGGTCGCTAGAGGGCGCTGTGCGCCGCTGAATTGGGTTAAAGCGGAACTCTGAACAGCTCTCACTTTCTGAGTGGACTGGAATAAAAACCTTACATTTACACAGTTCTTTCACAACACTGAGTTACTGCACTACAGGCTGTTCAGGAATGAACACTACGGCTCTGAAAGCTTATAGAAGATTAAATGAACTCCTACAGTTTTCATAGAAGTCCAGCTGGACCCAAAAGGAAATTGAGAGAGTTTTGATGTGGATGAATTTAGGTTCTTACATCCTACAGCTATTATAGTTAAGTTAATCGCCTCATATTTCACTGGTCATCCTGCATCAGTGCCTCACTGTATTCTCTCCAAATGTTATCAGCACAGGAGGAAACTCAAAAATAGCCTCCTCATGGTCCAGTAGTGGGTGCATGCTGGCATGAATGGGCCTGACTGTCCCTGAGCAGTATGAATGGAGTGTATAGAGTGCACAGGGACACATAGACCCCATCCTTTCACCCCTACTTGCAGCTGGAGCAAACGAAGAGGGTCCTGTAAAAGAAGGTCTCTGTGTGCACCTTGGGTGAGGTGGCCCTCCTTCCTTATTTGCTTCCCTACAACCTGAGGCAGCACATTTATTCACTTCTTATCCAGACAGACTTGCACTGCATAAAATGACAAACACATACACACACACACACACACACACATATATATATGTGTGTGTGTGTGTGTGTGTGTGTGTGTGCAGTGCAAGTCTGTGTGTGTTGAATACATATATATATATATATATATATATATATATATATATATATATGTATCCAACAGCAGCTGAGAGATTGACACTAATCCTGTACAGACCTCTGATGTAATGTGGTGTACTTTGGGAAATCTAATGTGATAAGAATGTTATTAGCATTAAAGGGCCCATATCATGCAAAACCAAATGTTCCTTATTTTTGTTAAATAAAGCAGTATGATGTTGGACGTGAATACTGTTGAAGTTTTAAATCTTACCAGTCCATAGAGTCTATATATAGTAACTAAGCCGCAGAAACAGCCTATTTTAAGGTCAGCATTTTTGTGATGTCATGAAAAAAAACCCCAATAATTTACATGTATTTGCTCATCTGCCCTACACCAGTTTAGCTTTGCCCATTCACGCCAAAGTTATGAGGAGTGTTGCAGCCCAGAAAGCTTTTAGAATGTGGTACAATACAAGGCAGCCAGTCAAAACAGAGCTCATTTGTATATATCCATGCTAAAGGCACAGTAACAATGACTTTTCAGTACATGAGATCATTCTAGCATTATAAGTGGACATGTGTATATATTTTAACCCTCTCCAGTCGACAATGTCATATACAACATTAAAGGATGTCACAGATAAAATAAAAAATATTTTGTGGATGCTGCATGCTATAGACGTTCTTTCATTTCACCTGGTAGGGGTAGTGTTGTTTAGGTGACGACAAGTCATGAACACAGATCTCTGATTGGTCAACAAGTGAGAAACACAGCCTCTGACTGGTGGACGAGTCAGGAACACAGTCTTTGATAGGTCAACGAGTCAAAAACACAGCCTCTATTTGGTCGATGAGTCAGGAACACAGCCTCTGATTGGTCAACAAGTGGTCCATAGGACACTTTTCCACTTCATCTCAGTTCATATTAAATGAGCTCAGACCCAGAGAAGGCAGCGGCGTTTCTGGATCCTGTTTAAATATGGTTTCTTCTTCAATGGTTTTCTGAAGTGTTCCCAAGCCCATGCAGTGATTTCCACTACAGAATTGTGTCTGTTTTTAATGTAGTGCTGTCTGAGGGCCCAAAGATCACAGCCATCCAATACTAGTTTTCGGCCTTCCCCTTTGCATATAGGGAATTCTCCTGATTCTCTGACTCTTTCAATGATAATATGTACCGTAGATGATGGAATTCCCGGGTTCTTTGCTATTTTAGTTTGAGAAACATTATTCTTGAATTGTTGCACTACTTGCCTGCATGGTCTTTTACAGAGTGGTGAACCCCTCCTCATCTTTACTTCTGAAAGACTCAGCCTCTCTGGGATACTCTTTTGTACCCAATCATGTTACCGACCTGTTGCCAATGAACCACCAGGTGTTTTTTAGCATTACACAACTAAAGCCTTTTGTTGCCCCCGTCCCAACTTTTTTGGAACGTGTTACTGACATCAAATTCAAAATGAGCATATATTTTTTTCAAAAAACAGTACAATTTTAGCTTCAACATTTCATATGTTGTCTGTATACTATTTTCACTTGAACATATGGAGTTTAAATAATTTGCACATCATTACATTTTGTTTTTATTTACATTTTGCACAACATACCAACTTTTTTGGTTAGTACATAGTGCAGCTTTAACCATATTGTTATTTCACCACAGTATATGCAATGGACACAGAGAAGCTGGAGATAGCTCTTTGGACCTCAGTAGAGAGAAAATAGGACTGTGAGGGAAGCTTCATTACTGAATAAAGCTGCTCAACTCCCTCCTGAGTGCTTTTCAACCACTAGTAGAAGAATTCTCCCCATTTCTGAAGGCCTAATAGGGGCTGTGTATTGAGCATAGCTTATTTCACTGTTGACAGCTGAATGTAAACGAGACTCATTTGCGTGTTTCAAAAGATACTGTTCCCTCCCCCGTCCACTCTATTTCCATGTACGGAAAATAAGCTGTAAAAACAGCCCCATTTGAATTCATTGTTTTTTGTGATGTCACTAAAGCCAACCCATTTTCATACATCTGCCTTCTACAGCAGTTTAGCCCCGCCCATTCATGCTAAAAATATAAGAAATATTTCAGCCTGCACTCCTTTTCTGCTGGCACAATACAATGCAGCCAATCAGAATAGAGCTCATTTACATATATCAGTCTTATGTGATGACAGCAGTAGATAATTCACTCACATCCTCGGTAGATGAGTCTTTCACCAAAACAGAGTTCTTTTTAAATACTCATCTGCTTGTGGAAAGGGGTCCGAAGCACAGACCCTGTTACAAAATGTTTTTCCACACATTGCATGCAGTTATACATTTCCACCAGAGAGCTCTCCAAATCTCTAAATCTTACACAAAGTAGCTTTACATACTGTTTGTTGTAAACCTACAGTCTGGACATGTTTAGGTGTGCTGTAGTTCAAATGAAAAAGTCAGTGGCTATCAAGTATTGTTTAGGACAGGGGTCAGCAACCCAAATGTTAAGAAGAGCCATTTTGTCTATTCAACAAAAATGAAACCACTTTGGGAGCCACAACATTTTTGTCCATTTTACCATCTTGGCTGTAAATATGTCTTAGTAGGTACTAATGTACTAGTAAAGGCTGCATAAACATATAAACAAAAATGCAATCTTAGCTACTTTGTTCTGCTATAAACTTTAGCTCAGCTATAGCTGCTTTCCTCTCATCTCCAGCAGGAAACCTTTCTTTAAAATAGTAGAATAGTTTCTACAATGTTCTACGTTTTACAAGGCTGAAGTCAGCTTCTCACTCTCCAGCTTCTTGTTCAAATTTTCCCCTCCTCCTTAAATGGTGCCTGAGATGCCAGGGTGTAACTGCTGCACCATTTAAGGTGAAACAGGAAAATTCAAACAAGAAGCTGACGAATGAGACTCCGACTTCAGCTTCGTGACTTTTTAGTGTCTGACAGTTTCCCTTTGCAGATTAAATGTATCAGGAAACCAGCTGGAGTGATTATTAAATGCAAATAAGTCCATTCATCTCAAAGTTCATCTTAAATCTCTCTCTTTGCCGTTTCATTCGCTACTAGCTAGGTGAGATTGTTGTCTGCTTTGCTATGGTGACCAGCAGTCTGTGCGCAGCCCTTCTGGGTTAAAGGGTGAATTAGCAGTTCTACATTAACTCCAGTGTTTAAGACCATTTATTGTTAAACTGTGTTAGAACGATCAGCAGAGCTTTATTTTACTGCAATGGAGGATTATTTTATTTTTTACCTAAAAATCTAATTCTGCTGTGGAGCCACAACAGGGCAGTTA